TTGTGTTTTTACGAATTATGATATAGCTACACAATTAAATATTAAGCAGCCATTTGAAAGGATGAAGTAAAGCTATATGGCTTTTAAGAAATATCTTCAAGGGGCACCTGGGTGGCTCAGTCGTTAAGCGTCTGCCTTCGGCTCAGGTCATGATCCCAGGGTCTTGGGATCGAGACCCACATTGGGCTCCCTGCTCGGCAGGAAGCCTGCTTCTCCCTCTCCCACTCCCCCTGCTTGTGTTCCCTCTCTGGCTGTCTTTCTCTCTGTCAAATAAATAAAACCTTTTAAAAAAAAAAGAAATACCTTCAAGATATGCCACAAGTGAGAAAAGCAAGTCAGTAAGCGATGTGTAGAGCATGCTCATATTTGTCTAATTAGAAAAAGAATATAAATACATACGCAGGTACAGGCATAATTTTTTCCTGAGAGTATTAAAAAATAGTGTTAACAGTTATTACTCTGAGGACTAATTTAAAATCATTAATTTAAAATCATTATTGCAAAAACAATCCAATTGCTCTTAAAAATTTAAATACTGCAGAAGTTAATCAAAGTCCTTTCTGCACCCCTCCCCACCCCTTAATTCCACTCCCCAGAGGACAGGTAGCCACAGATGAGAGTTTGGGACCTCATTACTCAGAGTATGGTTTCCAGAACAGCAGCATCAGGATCATCTGGGAAGCTGCTAGAAAAGGGGATTCTTGTGCCTCACCCCAGACCTGCTCAAACTCCATAATGGGGCTGAGTAATCTGGGTTTTAAAAAGTTCTTTTGGTTATTTTGAGGCGTGCTCAAACCATTTCGTTTTAACAGGTTAAACCATATCTTTTGGGGGTGGTCGAGAAGAATCCCGCTAGAGGAAACTAAGAACTCAAAACAGCATGTCTCCATTCACCCAGAGAGCTCTAGCTCAAAGGTTGGCAGCCTCTTGAGTCCACTGTGATCTCTCTGTTGGGGTCGACTGAGGACCGTATTGTCACAGTTTGGAGGCATGATCCAGAAAAGGGGACACGCTAGCGTGAAAACGGAAAAGGGAGTGGAGGAGAAACTTAAAGGAGGAGGAATAGGGAAAAGAAAGATGGCAGAGCGAGAATGCAAATAAAACCACCATAGGACGGCAGTTAGATGACATTGATACCTCACGGCCACTCATTCATTCATTTCATAAATTTTTTTCAGGAAAACTTTTCTTTTTATTTATTTTTTAATTTTTTTAAAGATTTTATTTATTTGACAGAGAGAGAGAGCCAGAAAGGGAACACAAGCAGGGGGAGTGGGAGAGGGAGAGGGAGAAGCAGGCTTCCCACAGAGCAGGGAGCCCAACGAGGGGCTCGATCCCAGGACCCCAGGATCATGACCTGAGCTGAAGGCAGACGCTTAACAACTGAGCCACCCAGGCGCCCCTATTTTTTAATTTTTTAAAAAAGATTGTATTTATTTATTTGAAAGAGACAGAGATAGGGAGAGAGAGCACGAGCGGGGAGGAGAGGGAGAAGCAGGTTCCCCCCACTGAACAGGGAGCCCAATCCGGGGCTCGATCCCAGGATCATGACCTGAGCCAAAGGCAGACACTCAACCAACTGAGCCACCCAGGCGCCCCAAAACTTTTCTTTTTTTAAATTGAGGTATAGTTGCCACACAATTTACATTGGTTTCCGGTGTACAACATAGCAACTGGACAAATCTATATGTTATGCTACAGCCACCATGAACGTAGCTACCATCTGTCATAGTACAACATGATTACAATACCATCAACTGTACCCCTTACGTTTCATAAACATTTATCACTTTCTCATTCTAAATCTCTGTATCTTTATGTCCATTTCCCCCCTCTGACCCACACATTTCATTGTCTTTCATTTACCAAATCTGATAGGACCATTATTTCTCACGCCGTTCAGAGTGTTCACATTTAGGGATGTGTTTGCCAGGGATTTCCCGCTCCCTGGCCAAAAAGTCATGAGCTCGCAAAGCTGCTCAAAAGAGTCACAGGGGCCCCTGGCTGGCTCAGTTAGTGGAGCTAACTTGATCTCGGAGTTGTGGGTTCGAGCCCCACATTGGGTGTAGAGATTACTTAAAAATAAAAAAAATTTTTTTAATTTATTTTATTTATTTATTTTTAAAGATTTTTTATTTATTTATTTTGAGAGAGAGAGAATGAGAGACAGAGAGTATGAGAGGGAGGAGGGTCAGAGGGAGAAGCAGACTCCCTGCCAAGCAGGGAGCCCGATGCGGGACTCGATCCCGGGACTCCAGGATCATGACCTGAGCCAAAGGCAGTCGCTTAACCCACTGAGCCACCCAGGCGCCCCCAAAATTTTTTTTAAAGAGTCATAAACAGGGCCGCCTGGCTGGCTCGGTCGAGCGTGCGGCTCTTGATTTCAGGGTCGTGAGTTCGAGCCCCCCATTGGATGTAAAGCTTGCTTAAATGAATAAATAAATAAAAACTTAAAAAAAAGAGTCATAAACTACCTATGGGGGTAGAGGGTGGGGAGGGGGTGTGCTGAGGATTTCTGCACACTGGGGACGTAGGAGAGAGGGAGGTGCCCTTAAAAGCACTCTGGATGCGGCCGCAGCAACCAACAAGACACCGGATGTGAAGCTCAGAGGGGAGGGGATCCCACAGAATTTCTCAAACATGGACGCTGGTCCCAGACGGACACATCTGCCTCCAAAACAGAAGAGCTTGCGCTAAGCTCCTTTGACTGTGCTGGGGTCATGGGACACCGCCTGCAAAAGGGACTGGTTCTCACGAAAGGGCGGTGAGTATGGAAGCTCAGACCAAACAAAGATTGAGAATGTTTAATCGATTCATTCTAACAACACACCCACCATTTACTTACCGCTTCAAAAACATTGTTCTGTCTCCTGAGGTTCCTGTCCCAGTCAGGGAGCCAGTGTTTGTTTTTGGTCAGGGGAAAAGGTTGTGATGGGGAGATTTAGCTTACCAGGCTGTTTATATCTCACTGTCTTCCATTTTTTAATTTGATGATACCTAAAGAAAGTTAAGGGCAACAATTTATTAAGCTGGACATTTCACTAATTGTGACACTGTTTCCTTATATTTTCAATAAATGAACATTTATTCTTATAGAATCTTAGCTGGGACCACCTTAGAGATCATCGCTGGCCTGTTAACATTGCCTTGGGGAGTTTAGGGGAAAACACAATGCCCAGGCCCCACTCCCTACCAGCTGAATCAGAATCTCAAGGGCTGGGACCAAGGGGCAATGCTAGTTTTAAGGTCCCACCAGTTATTCCAGTGCAGCCAGGATTGAGAAACTGCTCTGGTCTCCTTTTATTTTATGGATAAAAATACAGAAGTTAAAGAGATGAAGTGACTTGCTTCGGCAGCACATGTACTAAAAGAGATGAAGTGACTTGCCCAAGGTCACGCTGCCAATAAATGGTATCTAACTATTCTGACTGCCCATCCAATGTTCTTTCCACTATGCTCTTTTTCGTCTTCTTCTAGAACTTAGGGTTTCACTGAACATTATAGTTAGGTGATTTACAGTTGAGGGAGAAGGGACAGAGTCCATCAGTAAGGATGGGTGGGGAAACTTGTAAGGACTCAACTCAATCAAGGATTCTCCAGGACATGGCTCCTTTCAAGTCGTATTGGTGGTAGGACAGTCAAATGACCTTCTTTTGCTAAAAGCATTGTCTAATACTGTAGCGTATATTAGTTCCTCCTAGAGCAAGTCAGCTGCTCATGACTCAGTTGCACCCATGAAGAAGTCATGAATAAGTGTTCTCACTTTCAGGAATTAATCATATTAGAGCACATGACAGGATATACCAATGACTCCTAATTTTTGAGCAGGGGTGGTTGTAGAGTGAGGACTCACAGGTCCCATTTCAGAACAGGTAAAAGCTATAGCCCCTCTCCCCGTGAAAAATACGCATACATGAGTGTTGCAAGTAATTTCTGGAGATTCACAGACGGTCCCCTCCACCCTCGCCCACCCCCGGCAAGTTCATCCATTGACACCTGATTAAGATCTCCTGGATTAGACGCTTTTGGAGCTCTATTTTTTAATGTTTCTCAAATTGTAGTCGGGGAACCACAGAAATCGGAATCACCTGGGGTGTTTGTTCAAAATGCAGACTCCAAGGGCAGCCAGAGACCTACTGTTTCAGAATCTCTGCGAATGAGGTATAGGAGTCTGTATGATATTAAAACTCCCTAGATGATTCTTTCCGACACTAACATTTGAGAATTAGTGCTTTATCCCAACTTGAGATTTTTTTAATAGTTTTTGAATGCTTTCCTTTGTTGACTATTTTAGGTTTCATCTGTTCAATTGTTAAGTATACCAAATAGGATGTTTAGTATGAATTCATTAAAGAATATTCACATGTGGATATGCATAGGAAAAGCAAGTGGAAAGAGAGCTAGATAACCATCTCTCTCTGGGTAGTGGGAATATGGATGAGCTTTATTTTTTCCCCTTTATCTTCCTATTTTATTTTTCTCTTTCCTATTTTCTTTCTTTCTGTATTTAAAGAAGATTCTTCCTCTTTCTGAGTTCAATTCCTCCGTCCGAAAAACAGGGTATTGTAACTAGGCGAACTTCAAGGCCACGTCTTGCTCTGGCGATCCGCGGCACCGTATTACCCCCTAGCTCTCTTATCCATTTAATCAATCACATGAACCTCAGGGGTAACAACAGTGTTCCTAGAACAACTGTGTATTATTTTTACATATATTACGTTGTGATGCTTAGCAACCTTTTTAATTCAACAAAATTATTCTCTTCCTCCTCAAGGAGTTGGAACTGAAATGAACTCTACTACCTACACCCCGGAAAGTTAATCCTCTCTTTTAAGCCTTAGAAAAAGCCGTCCGCACAGGGCTCTCAGGCGCATAAGACTGATTGTGAACCAAAAAGCCAGGGCATGGTCGCCCCGCCCACCGGCTCCTACATCACCACCCCTCTCGCCGCTTTCAAGCGCGGAGATTGGCTAAAGGCAAGAACGAGCCCCGCCCCTAGTCTTATGACCCGCGCTGAAGCGCCGAGTCCTGGCGTTTGCGGGGCTGTGTTCGGTGGTCTGCGGTCCTCCTGGCCCGGTTCCCCGCAGCCTTTTCGCAGGTGTTGCTGCTGCCATTGCCACCGCCGCTGCCACCTCCACCCCGACCAGCCGCCGCCGCCTCCGGCTTTGCGGAATCATGGTGTGCTTCCGCCTCTCCCCGGTTCCGGGCTCGGGGCTCGTTGTGCTCTGCCTTGTCCTGGGTGAGTTGTTGGGCCCTCCTGCTCTGTCCCGCAGCCTGGGCCCGGGGAGCCCAGTTCAAAGGCCACAACCTGAAAGACTGGTCCGGGGGAAGGGGGGGAGGGTTGAGAGGCTGAGCGGCTGACACTGGGCGGCGGCGCTTGCCCAGGGAGGCGAGCCGCGACCTAGAGAAGGCCTGACCGAGGGATGGCGGGGAGGAAGGGCCCGTGAGAGTGAGAAGGGGCAAGTAAGCGCGGGGGGCCGCCGAGGGAGTAGGTGGGGAAGAGTGAGGAGTGGAGCCGATCTGGGTAGGAAGAGTAACTTGGGGAAGATACTGAGGAGTGAGTGTAGGAGGGACCTACGTGCGATTCTGGGGTGGCAGAGACAGGGTCCTGGTTTCTTAGGATCAGGGAAGAGTTTTGAAGATGGTGGAAAATTATGGGATGAGAGCGAAAATTGGGGAGGGAAGAGACTGTCGCCTGCGTGAAGAAGCTTGGGGGAAGGGTGGGGGGGTAGGGGCAGATATGACGGTAGAGTCTGGGGGACAGCGAGGGGGCTGGGGGGGCGGTTTGTGGGTGGGAATTTGAGGTCCTGGAGGAAGGGTGAGTAAAGAGATGAGGAATGATGCTGGATTTGAGTTTGGTAGTTGGAGTTTTGAGGGGTAGGGACCTAAGGTGGCCCGGGGCAATTTCCAGGCGAGAAAACTCGGACCTAACCTCTGGAGACTAAAGGGAAGAGGGGGAACTTTGGTGGGGAGTGAAGATCTGACTTGGAGGTGTTGATGTCAGTTTTCTTTTTTTTTTTTTTAAGATTTTATTTATTTGAGAGAGAGAGAGCACATGAGAGGGGGGAGGGTCAGAGGGAGAAGCAGACTCCCCGCTGAGCAGGGAGCCCAATGCGGGGCTCGATCCAGTGACTCCAGGATCATGACCTGAACCGAAGGCAGTCGCTGAACCAACTGAGCCACACAGGCATCCTAGGATGTCTGTTTTCTATTAGTTTTGCTACTTCCTCCCGGCCTGATCCAGATTTAAAACAACAACAACTTAAAAAGGACTTGAAAACAATCTCCAATTATTTCGGTTGGGAGGGCCTCCCGGATGTGAGGTTTTGGGGGTGGTGGTCTGAGTCGTGTACGCTGCCTCTCTGCCTTCAGAAGCTCCTTCTCAGTGGCACAGCTGGCCCTTTACTTCATTTTTGGAGGAGAAAGGTAACTTGTCAAAGACTTGGTTGTTAACAAGTCATAAGAATGGCTGGATGAATGTTGGCTGACTGTGTTATACCCCCCTCCCCCAAAGATCACTGGGTCCCCGAGGGCTGTAATGCCTGAAAGGTGAACTTTGACCAGAAGGTCTCTTCCTGACCTCATTCATCCTGTGCTTGTTGCTATCCACCCACTTGCTGTTTGTGACCAAATAAAAAAACCCAGAAGGAACAGACCCAGATGGGAGTGGCAAGTAGATAAAGATAATAGGGGTCTGAGAAGTCAGTGAGAGGTGCCCATGCTGTAATTCACATTTCGGTAGCATAAAATCAGCACCCTAAAATAGTGGATTCTCAAACGGACATTTGGCAATATCTGGAGACATTTTGGTTGTCGCAACAGGGGATTGCGTTTGGCATCCAGGGGGTAGAGGCTGGGGATTCTGCTGAACATCCTACAGTACACAGCATAGTGCCCCCCCCCAAAGAATTATCCACCTCAAAATGTCAGTAGTGCTGAGGTTGAGCAGTCTTGCTCCAGAGTGATAGCGCTGGAAGGGTTCTTGATCTGATTTAGTGATTCTCAAGGATCTTTTTGAGGGGGTGCCTGTCAGATAAAACGTATTTCTAAAAGAATACCAAGAAGTTATTTGTCTTTTTCACTCACACACTCACTCCAGCGTACAGTGGAGTTTTCCAGAGGCTTCACCCTGTGTGATGACATCACCACTCTGATGGCCCTGATGTTGTGTTTTATTCACTTCTCATTTTTAATTTCGAGCATGGCAAATACCAATAGATAGAACGCACGTAAACCAAAGCTCTTTGAGGTCCTCAGTGGGTAAGAGAGTAAGGGGTCCTGATACCAAACGTTTTGGACTCCCCGAACTAGTGCAGCTACCCACATAGGGCAGGAGACGCCTCCATAGCCCTTCTGGAAGGGGGCCGTGGAGCCTTTGCTCAAACACAATTCGAAGCTCTAACACTGCTGTGAAGCATTTACTGAGGAGCCGGTGACCCTAGGAGAGGATTGTTTACAACGAAAAGCACCTTATCAGTGGCTAGAACACATCTGACTGAGGCATCTGTTAATCAGTAGTTCACTGCCAATTGAATCTGCACAAACACAACACGGTTATTGTTTAGAGAAAGTGAAAAAAAAATAATAGCTGTCCTGCTTGTTGGCTTTCGTGTCATTAGATTTTTTTTTTTTTTAATGAAAGCTTTTTTGTTTTGTTTTTACAAAAGCAATGCTTGCTCATTGCAGAAAATAAACAGGCAAAAAGAAGCACATAAAAGAACCCGTCAGCTCATCTGCTAGTTTGCCTAAATTTATTGATCGGGACTAACTAGATTCATCTTCTTGGAAGATTTCCAAGGTCGCTTTCCTCTACTTCCAGGTTTAGAACAGGATTTGGAGGAGTAAAAGTTCATAATGTACCTAGATTAGATTTTTCAGGCGATATCAGGATAAGACAGAAATCATCTCTTCGATACAGCTGCTTTTTCTGGCAGCTGCTGGTTCAGGGTGGAGCTCAGACTCGCTTCCATGTGGCTTTCTCTCTTAAGACCTGAGCCCGTCTTGAGTTGCTTGGTGGGTTTTGCATACATCACAGTGGATACCAGGAATAAGGTTTTTAAGAACTCCGTAAATATTTGTAAAGGAGCTGCTGTGAATCTTGTGCTCTTCCGGGGTACCATTGCAGGGGGATCTGTCCTGAATTTATAGTCTCATTAGCTTGAGTGCTCAAGCTGTGCCAGTTTCACTTTGTAACTTTATAACTATTCTGGCTCCGCGGGAACTTTTTAAAAATAGCTGCTTTACAGCAAGTATAGAGGAGAGTTCTTAGGGGTTATGTATTATTATTGGTCCTTTTCACAGAGATTAAGTTATGCTCTTTATTTGAATGAATTATAACTGACTAGAGAGCTTTCTGAAGAAAAGCTCTGAGTTTTCTGAAGAAAAGCTATACAGATGCATTATAAAGAGAGTAGTGGCTAAAAATCATTTCCTAGCATCGTTGCCTAAGTGTTTTTCTTTGTGACATCATAGATTTCAGAATTCTTCTGTGGTTATTGATTTTTACAACTAGTTTGACTTCTTGGTGCTTTTCTGGGTTGGAGAAACCTCATATAAATATCCTGAGTGTGCTTCACTGGTAGGAGGACCCCTCCCACAAATGGTTATCTATCGATTACCCGGTGAGCGGAGACCTGAGTGTTGCAGGGAGGCCAGCCAGGTGACCATCTGGAGGAATAGGGGTAAATCTTGTCGTTCCCAAACTCTTAGCTTATTAGGCTAGCCTATTTTCCACTCTTTTTAAAAATCCCATTGCCAGGGGCGCCTGGGTAACTCAGTTGTTAAGCATCTGCCTTTGGCTCAGGTCATGATCCCAGGGTCCTGGGATTGAGCCCCGCATCGGGCTCCCTGCTCAGCCAGGAAGCCTGCCTCTCCCTCTCCCACTCCCCCTGCTTGTGTTCCCTCTCTCGCTGTGTCTCTCTCTGTCAAATAAATAAAATCTTAAAAAAAAATCCCATTGCCAGTCAGATCTCCCCTAAGGCATTAGTCTCTGAGAGCCAAGACTATCTTAGGCACTGTTATTTCTCATTGCCTACTTAGCACAGCACCTGGTACATGGTTAACCCTGAGATTTTTGTTGAGGGTATTCATTGGTGGGCACTGGGGATATGACTGTAAATTAGACCAACTTGGTCTCCTTTTTCTTCCGTGAACCTTAAATTATGTTTCGCAAGAGGTGGTTTTTGTGTCTTTGTATTGAGAACTTCAAGATCAGTGCTAAGCAGCGCAGATAATTATAAACCATTTTACTGATGTATGATCCCATATCATAATGCTACCCCTTCAGATACACCTCCATGGTAGGCAGGGTTAACATGGAGAACTAGGAAGGCCTCGGTGGGAAGGAGAATAAGGTTTTCACAGAGAACCAATCTCCCTCCCTTTGGAGGTGATCTGAAAGAGAGAAAGTAAGCAGGAGATCTCTCTGTAACCTTAACCACATTTGTTAAGCTGATAACTTTGATTTCAAGGTTCTGCTAAAATTATTTTTAGCTATAGTAGAGATAGTTGAAAGGACAGGCTTATTATTTGTCCATTAGTCATTGGTTATCACATCTGATAGGATTATAGATATTAAAATATTTCCCAGGAGTGCGGCTTTCTTCCATATCCTTGAGTGGAATTTGCGATTGACAATGATTTCATAGCACTGTCACTGACTTAAGTGATCCTTGGTGCAGGAAGTCTGCTCTTCCTCCTGTAGTGACAAAAGCATTCTGATCATAATTTCGTATTAAAGTGATCAGAGATCGCCTCAGATCCAAAAGTGTACTTTATGAGTGCTCGTTGTTATCTTGCTGTGCATTGCAAAAGAATTCTGGAGGTCTGCCAAACACCACTCACTCAGCAATAAGCGTTTTCCATTAGTTGAATAGTGTTGAAGCTCACTTCCTTACCCATTGCCTGATGTTAAATTATTTTGTAGCTTAAAATCATTTTATTACTTTTCTTTTTAAAAGAGATTTACCAGAAATTGAGAGCATCAGCAACTGACTGGGTGGTTGTACCTATATTAGGAAGCATAAATGAGGACTTAATAAATGAGGAGCAGTTAATCTGATTTATTAAACCTATGAACAGCAAAGAAAGAATAAATAGGTACTGTATGCCCATGTCGTGTTGTTGTTGTTGTTGTTTTAAGACCCTTTGCCCAGCATCATTCTGAACTGATGAGTTTGAGTTCAGGAGTTCATAACTTAATATGATGAAAGTAAACATAGAATTACAGTTTGGGAAGGA